ATGGGGTCAGCCTAACGCAGAGGCCCTCGACTCACCGGCTTCTTGCCCTGTCTTTCCCCTTCAGAAGGCTGAGAAGGCATCGAGGTGGGAAGTGATAGGCCAGCTGAAACATAATCAGAATCATTAAATAGCACTTTATTTTAAATCGTCGCCTACCCCGGAGCTGGGAGAATAATTGGCCAGCCTGTCACAAGAGAAGCAGGAGACCTGTGGGCCCCACCATCGCCAAGTTTGGCTCACAGTGCCCTTGGCAGCAAGTGGCCTCCGCTGGGCCTGCTCCGCACACCCCTCGCCTGCCCCAACCTGGTGCTGTCCTGCCACCCACCCCTCCTGCTGTGGGGAGGGCTGTAGACTGCCCCTAAGCCCCTAGCGGCATGGGGTTTATTCAGGCAGTCTGCTTGGCAGAGGTAGACTTGGGGGTCCCAAGACCTTGGTCTCTTGTGGGCCACCCCCGTCTGCTCTTGAACAAAGCCCTCCCCCTCCTCTTGTCCCTCTGCAGGGTCCAGCTGCCCACACCCACCCGTGCCCTCTGAGGGTGAACCTGCAGTGTCACCTGTCTTTGGTTTTTTGATTTGTTTAATTATAGATGAGTTTTCTGCATAATTTATTCCAAAAGCCTGGATTATACTGTACAATTAAATCACATTCTGATCAACAACTTCACGTATAAAATTAACAACTGGCAACAGTTTAATCTGTGCTGCTGCATCTGTAGGGAGGCTCTCCCCCCCTCCTCCTCCCCTTCCATCTTCCCCCTCCCTCCCCCTCTCCTCCCCTTCCTCTCTCCTCCCCTCCTCCTCCATTCCTGTCTTCTCCCTCCTCTTGGCCCTGTCCCGCCTCCCCTCTGGGGGGCACCTGTGCAGCTGGCAGCCCCCACCTGAGTGCTCTGTAGTTTGACCAGGGTCCTCCCCAGCCTTCTGGCTGGGGTTTCATTGGATCTGTCTGAGAAAGGGGGTCCGAAGCTCCTTACCCCACACACAGATGACTCTGTTCCCCTGCCTGCTGGTGACGCCCTTCCCCCTTCCCACATCCTCTGGGTCTGAATGTGCCCTCGAGACTAAGGCGTGGTGTCCCCTGGCAGCTGGTGTCAGCCCCTTCCTGCTGGGCTGCCCTCAGCCGGTCTTGGGACACACGCACCTTCGCCCTGTGCCTGCTCCCGGCCTCTCTCAGCTGGGGAGCAGGGGGTTGCAGGAAGCCATTAAGGGACTCCTTTCCACAGCACCCTCCCTCCGCGCCCCCCTCTCCTCAAGGGCAGGCATTTATGGGAGATTTCCTGAGTGCTGGGGGCACTGCACTGGATGAGCTTCTAAGGCTCAGGGGGCTGCCCAATAGTAATACTGCCCATCAAGGTCATCATGTGGATTTGGCCATTGCTCAGCCACTCATTAGTATCCCTGTTCCTAGGCAGGGGTCACGCAGCTGGTAGAAGTGGCCTTTCCCGGAGGCTCATCTTGGGGCCATGGCCGATGGAGCCAGGCAGACAGGTCTGGCTTCTCTCTATAGTATACGGCCCTGCACCCATCCTTGCCAGTAGCCTCGGTTTCCTTGTTTGTGAAGTGGGGGTGCGGTGCCTGGACCCGCCTAGGTTCGGGCACATTGGAGACCATGGCTGTGCTTGGCTCTGCCCTTAGCCTCTCGTGCCCACAGCAATCATGCCGGCTGCAGCCCCTGGGTGCACGTGCCTCCTCACAGACTCTCTCTCTCTCACTTGCTAATTTGGCACTTAGAGACACTTGGAGATGAGCAGAGTCATCTATAAAATCACAGGGATGCGGGGAGCCAACAGGTGGGTCCACCCTGTTGGGAGGGTGACCCATGGACCACACTGTCTGACAAGGGAGGCATTGACAGAGCCGGGCACTTGGGTCCAGGTTGATAGGAGCCCAGCCAAGATTTGGGCCAATTGCCTTCGATCCACTGGGACCGTGGATCCTTCTAGAGCGCCTATGCCCTTCTGCTGGGGTGAAGACAACTGTACCTGGCCAGGGTTAGCCTCAGCTTGGTGGGACAGGACACTGCAGGTACCTAATTGACTCCTGGCCCTCTCAATCCCACGTGTCACCCCTTGGAGCCAGCACTGGGACCCCAGCCAAACCCCGGAACCCACAAAATCCTATCTCTGCGACGATGAAGTGAATGATCTGTCATGTTCTTTTAAACTCCTGGGCACATGTATTGCTTTCCTAATTGGGTCTGGTTTAGGTGATAATCAGAGTAACTTGTTTGCCCTGCGTCGTGATGGTCTGGGGCCTGGGGTCTACCCATCAGTCCTAGCATGCCAGACCAAGGGCTAGAGCCACTCCTAAACCCCGGATGGGCATGTGTCCTGATGTGTCATCGGTGGGCCAGACCTTGCAGCCCATAGCAGAGTTTAGAGCTGCTCAGCCTGGGAGTGGGAATGGGGAGACTTGTGTACATGTGTGTGCACACGTGCACTCATGTGTGAGGGTGGGGGCCAGGGAGGGAAGAAGGGAGGGAGAGTGAGCGTTTTGGGGAATAATTGGACTTTATCCTGATTTGGCTCTTCTAAAAAATTTTTTAGTGTTGAAATAGCATTTTGGTTTTTTTTTTTTTTTGATGATGAAATGATGGTGATTATAATAATAATAATGTGTTGTCTGAGCAAAATAAAAACTTGGCATCCATGCCTGTTCTTCCAATTAATTTTCTTTTACTTATCTATGAAATCCTAGAACCGAAGACCTATAGATATACTAGAAAAGAGTCAACAGCCTGGGATTGAATCAGTGCTGTGCTGGTAAATGTTTACAGTTTTCTCTCCAGGGGGAAAAAAACTGTGATTGGCAGCATTTGCCGATTTATAAATATTCCCACTATGGCTGATTTCAAGCTCCCAAGGCGATGACACTGAATGCAGAATTGGGAAGAGGTACACTCTGTTGTTTCTTGCAGACTCCACCCCTGGGTCAGGTTCTATGGTCACCACTTCCTGGGTGGGTGACCTTGGGCAGGTCACCTAAAGCCGCTGTGCCTGTTTCCTCATCTGTAAGTTCAGGATGATGATGCTTGCTTCTTTGTGAGGATTGAAGGTGAGAACAGGTGACATGCCGGCATCACACCTTGTACTTAGTGGGGTGCTCTTGTACATATCGGTTTCAGGAAAGATTATGATTGGCATTCTGTCCCTTAGACCAACGAATGGCTGAAGTCAGGGTCTGAACCAGATCAGAGCTAATGATCCCCTTGGGGATCAGCTCCTTGACCTCACCTGTCCACCTGCCTAGCTGGACATAGGACTGCGTGGCAGCCCATCTTAACATTAACCCCCTGGGCTCCATCTCAGGACCATGAAACAGCCACCTGCTACACCGTCCACCCACAGCCAGGGCCAAGCGGTCCGCGCCGAGTGGACAGGGGCCGGGGCCAAGCAGGCTCTCCATTCTCTGCGGGGCTTTGCCCTTCCCGGCTGGTGGCTGAGGCCTGATTGCCCTTTGTGCCTGGCCTGCAGCCTGGCCTCCCTCGGGCTCCAGTTAGCTTTTCCCTGCGGTGGAAAGTGGAGGTGGACATCAGGCCATGGCTCAGCCAGTAACAAGCCGAAGCTAATACCTTTTCTTTTGATGTTGATTTTTTTTTTCATCATGGTCCTGACATTCAGCTTGGCAAATTGCAATTAGTGATCCGCCCGCCTCCTGCTCTGAGTTCCCATGCCAACCGACCCAGGCACACACAATGGCACGGGCCCAGCCCCCCAGCCACAGGCCTGAGGAGGGATGTGGGGCAGAGGCAAGCTCTTCTGACCCCTGGAGCTAGAAGAGTCATGGCCCCACATGGCTCTAGGGAATACAGAGAGGTAGCAGGCCCCGGGCAGGTACTGGGGCCAGACTCAGTCTCCTGGATCCCATGGCTCCTGGGGTGGCTCTCCAGAGGCTGGGGGGCTGGCACCACCCCTTCTTTACCTTGCCCTATGGGGTGCGTTTGATTTGTGGCATATTTAGATCTTCGTGATAATTTTCCTGTGAGTCCTCCCTGGAAAGGCCTCGTTCTGTGTCTGTGGGTGGAGAAGTTGAGATGCCTTTTCAGATGCATTAGGACGGGGGTCCTGGTCACGGCAGACGTGCCTGTGGCAGCGTGGACGACATCTCTCCGGCCAGCCCCTTTGCTCACCTGATCTGGCACTGCCTGCAGGAGGGTCACGGGTTAGAACCCGGGCCAGGCCTCTCCCCAGATACCCTTCCTGTCCATGGGCGTGTTCTGAGAAGACAGGGACACGGGTCCATGTGGCCACCTGTCCGCTCCAAAGGTCCCTGTGCAGCACCCTCGACCCACCTGTCCTCATGGGCCCTTCCGTACCCTGTGAAGTGGCGCCAGTGTGGAGGAGACCTGCTCAGGCCGGTGGCTCAGGTGAAGGACTCATGGGACTTGCCGGGTCCCCAGAAGGGGGTGGGATGGTCTGAACCGTACCCGTGCGTGGGTGGGTCGTGTGGGGCATCCAGCGACGTACCCCAGATAAACATCTGTTTACCAGGGTGCTGGGAAGGCCAGGGCCGTCTGCGCCAGGGCCTCCCCGGGTCCGCTACTCAGAGGAAGCCCGGAGGAGCAGGAGCCTGCCCCGGGTCACACAGTGACTTGGTGGTGGCAGCAGCGACTCGTGTTCCCTCCCCTTCCCCAGACCCCACCCAGCCTTGGGGACAGGATGCTCCAAGACCCAGGAGGCAGCCCTGGCTCGCTTACGTCCCCCTCCTCCCTGGTGTCCTGCGTCCCCGTGTTCAGAGCAGCAGCATCAGGGGTCGGCTCGTCACAGTGGAAAACAGTCCCCTTCAGGCTTCTTGGAGCCGTCGGACTCCCTCGGTGCCTTTAAACAACAGCCCGTCCCCTCCCTGGCGTCCAAGGAGCCCTGGGCCTCCGGGTCTCCGTTTCAAAGGGGTCACAGGCGCACTCCGGTTCCTGAAGGGCGGCTGCCGCTGGGCACCCCAGGGTGGCTGGGCCGGGCTGCGCCAGCACCAGGCGGGCCCTCCTGATGTCTCTGTCCTCTCACGCAGGGTGCAGCACTGGGCCCGGCGCCTGGAGCAGGAGATCGACGGCGTGATGCGGATCTTTGGGGGCGTCCAGCAGCTCCGCGAGGTAAGCCTGCAGCCATGGCTTTCCCTCGGGGACCCTCCTCCGGGTGGGGCTGAGGGAAGGGCCTCGGAAATAAGGAGTGAGGCAGGTGAGCCAGCGCGGTGGGACACTGATGGACCCATGGGTGCAGGTGGGGACGCAACTAGAAAAACTGACTCCTTGGGGGCTCGGCCTGCTCTTGCCGAGGTGGCTGTGCACAAGCGGCACCCGGCTGGCTCGGGTGTCAGGCTTTGCAGGTTTTCAGATGCACGAGGTCTGTGTCTGGGGTGCAAGGCCAGGCCCCGGACGGTCCAGCAGATGCAGTTGTGCACGCGAGCCAGAGGGACCGTCCACGCAGTGAGTGGTGGCCAGGCCACACAACCCCGGGGGAGCAGCGCTGCCCCTCAAGGCGTCGTCACATGCGAGATGAGACGAGTTGAAAGCCTAGATGAGATGAGTTGAAAGCCGGTGCTTGGCGAGATGAGGGATCAGGGGACAGGAGGGGTGATTGATTAGACGGGAGCAACCACATTCATCTGGGAGATTATGTTAATGTTTGAAATAGTGATGTGAAGACTAGGCCATTAGTCACCCCCAGAAGGCTGCAAAATGTGTCCCTGTCAGGCTCCTGAGCCGTCGTCGCTCTTTCTGTAGAGACCCAGAGGCTGGGAGAGCTGAGCGCTGGGAGGGGCTGGGGTGGGACTCCCAGGTCGGCTCAGACTTCCAGAAGCTCGTTGCTGGGGGCTGGGACCGAAAGGTGCAACGGGATTGGCGGGCATTTCCTGCCAACGGTTGTCCCGAGAACAGCAGAGTAAATGCAGTTCCTGTTGGGGAGTCCAGGCCCGGAGCTCGGTGGCGAGATCCAGCACTGCGTCCCTGTCGTCCCTCTCGGTCGCAGCTGTAGCTCCTGTGAGGCAGTTGCCACGGGGTGTGGTCCTCGGCCCTGTCCCCACGCTTAGTTGACAGCGGGCGCCCAGGAAATGGGGGCGGCAGTGAGTGTGTTGCCATGGGCTGGGGACGTAGGACCTCTGGCACAGGGTGGGGCTGATCAGGGGTGTCTAACGAGGTGGTAACATGGCAGGGAGAGGGAGGCTGGGTCTGGAGGTCAAAGCCACCCACTTGCTGGGTGTCCCCCTGTGGCGGCCCGGCCTCTCCGAACGTCCCTTCCCCGGTTCTGGGGCCTGAATTGCACTCACCTCACCCCACTCTCTCCTTGTGAACTCTCCCTGGCTCAGCCGAGCTCGGAAGCCAGCAGAGCTTTCCAGAGAAAAGAAGTGTAGGAAAAGCTCGGGCTCAGCCGAGCTCGGAAGCCAGCAGAGCTTTCCAGAGAAAAGAAGTGTAGGAAAAGCTGTTCCAGAGCAGAAGTCAATTTATGCTCAGGCATCGCACCCGCACTAACTTGGCCCTCAGTGGTCAAGTGCAGCCGTGTAGGTGACTGAAGAAATGATAGTTCCTTGGATGTGTCCAAGTTTTGCGTCTGGACGTAGGATGTACCTAATAGAAGGCGTTAACCATGCACCAACAGTCAAGAATTGCCCATGCTTTGAATTCACACCTGGAGGACAGTGTTAGTTCGTAGTCACCGTCAGCTCAGACCCAGAAAGTTTGCCAATGAGCAGTTAATGTACACATTTCGTGCCTGAGATTCCATTCTGTCCAAGCCTCTGAGCTTCCTGGACGGCGAGGGCCAGAGATGGAATCCCAGCTCAGCGTAGCCGCTGGGTGCTCGTGGGCGAGTCCCGGACCCTCTCTGGTCCTCGTTCTCGGTCTGTGGCGTGGCTAGGAGGTCTGGCTGGAGGATGGGATGGTCATTCATGGCAGTGGACAAACTGACACAGATACACCCCGTTTTCTAGAAGTCAGGTTTGAATTTCCCTCGTTGATCCTTTTCACTCCTAGAATATGTTCTCTTCCTTTCCGATGGCAGCGAGCGATTCCAGACACTTTCACTGAGCCGCACCCTCAGCCACACCCGCCCCACCGGGACCCCGGGCTCTGGATTCCTGTTCTAGGGGGCTCCTCTGGCTCTGCCTCTCCTCTCGGAAGGGCGGGCAGGATGAGCTGGGGGAACTGGGAGCTGGGCTGGAGCAGGGGCCGTGCTTGGCGGGGCCGTGGCCAGCCTGGGAGGCAGGCGGAGAAGTGCTGACCTAGCATCCCGGCTCCTCCTGGCATCCCCTGCTCGCCGACGGCTGCCAGCTCCCCGGCGGCGCTCTGTCCTGCTCCAGGTTTTTCTCACCTGCTTCCTCAGCCTCTTACTTCCCGCTGACAGCTCTGGGGCTATTCCTTGGCACGGGGCTCTCTGGTGAGGTGGGCGGCAGGAGAGCAGGTGAAGAATTCTAGAGGAAAAGGACAACCCTGAGGGGCCAACCGACGAGCGCCCCACCCCCACGGCCCAGCCCCCAGCCTGACCGAGCCACCCCGGCTCTCCCTCAAATGCGCGTGAGAGGGCCGTGTATCCAGCCCGTGCCCAGCCCTGACGGGTCAGGGGGTGCTGGCAGCAGAGCCCTGACCCAGCTCCCGTGGACCCTGGCACCAGCTCTCCCGTTGGGGCCGCCCCTCCCCAGGCCTCCCTGAGCTGCTTCTGAGCCGCCTCAAACACCTTGGAGCTGAGTGAAGCTGGCATCCGGGCCCCCTTGGCCTTCTCCTTCTGCACAGCTGCCCTCTCCTCTGCCTGTCCCAATCTAGAGGCCACCCCACCCCCAGAAGCTGGGAGCCACAAGAGCTGGCAGCTGCGAGAATTCAGAAACTGCAGACGGTGGCATTTGGGAGCATTTTCCTTGCCTCGGCACTTTGCTCCTCTCGGCCTGGCCACCGCCCCGCGGGGCATGGCTGGGTGCAGACCGCGGCCCAGTCGCAGGTCGGAAACGATGGCGCACCTCAGTGGAGCATGGGGGCTGTCCGTAAAGACCCCATCGTATCTCCTCATCTAACCCCAGCACACACTAAGAGGTCCTGCTGCGGCCTGGCGTTCAGGCACCATACTCACCCCCATGTTTAGCTAGACGCTCCTGAGCCATGCCCCGCTGGGTAACCCAGCCCCACCTTCCCCCCAGCCCTGGCCAGCTTCTGCCACGAACAGGTCACAAGAGTGTGGACCCTACTGCAGTCTGCCCTGTCCTGCGTTCTCTCGAGCCCCTTCTCTACCCTCCCCCATCAGCACCATATTGTCCCCATCCTGTGGGGGGGAGGGGGAGAACAGAGAGCATATGCTTAGGCTCTGAGCTCATTTACATAATGAAGCTGATCAGGATGAATAATTCATCAGGTGCCTAGGGGTGCATGGGGGAGGATGTGGAGACGGCCGGTCTCCCTACTCCGAAGCCCAGGTCACTCTGACAGGTACAGCTAGGGACCTACCCCCTTCTGACTGGGTGTCCAGGTGGGGACATCATATAGAAGAGGAGATTATAGTCAGATATGAGGAAGAACCAGCACTTATCAGGTGCACCAGCCCTGAGAGGGGGTCCTGAGCTGGGGGAGACACTGACCTTGGAGGGTCTCTGTAGAAGGAAGAGAGAAGACCCCCTGTCAGGGGTGGGGTTGGAGGTGAGGGAAGGCTGCCTGGCCAGAGTTGGGTCGGGAGCAGAGACCTGGGATGGCCACTTCTGGGGACTACACGCCACCCTCTGGAGAGGCTCAAGCCAAGTCTGCTCCTACGAGGACCTTTGTCCGTTCCCTCAGCCTCCTCTTGTACCTGGCCCCCAGGTCGGGGCAGAAATGGCCTGAGCCCTGCTCACATCTCTGTCACCTCAGCTCCCACGAGGGTCTTATAGCCCAGCTTCTGGTTACTCCCATGGTCCTGTCATACAAATGGGGAAACCAAGGTCCTGGCCAACTGTCCCCACCAGCCAGTCCCATCCTGGAGGCCAGGCCTGAGTAGTGCCGGGATTGTTGAGAAGTATCAAGGCAGAAGTGCAGGCCCGGGGCCTGCCTGGAGGAGCCTTCCGGGGGCAGCTCCTCCCCTAGACTGCTGAGCTACGTCCACAGAGCAGCACCCCAGGACCTGCAGCTCCCTGACGGCAGGTCTCCCACGCCGCTCCCCACTGCTGTTCTTCTCTAGGCAGTCATGGTAATCCAGACCAGGGGTGTCCGTGTATCCCCACTCTGCGTAGCCAGGAATGGCGCTTCCGAACCCGTGACAGCGCTGCAGCCCCAGCCCATCTCGTCTGCCCCTGGCCGTCCCCGCACCCCATCTACTCAGTGCTCCCTGGGAATGTGTAATCGATATTTGCAGAGTGCCACAGCTGGAGCTGGCTCCCGGCAAGGACCAGAGTCTGGCCACATCGAGGGCCCCCTTCCTGAGGGCGTCCGTGTAGGTGTCTTTGAGCCTGGCCTCTCCCTTCCCCCTCCCCACAACTTGCGAAACATGTGCACACTCACACCCTGGCTCGTGGGGTGCTGGCTGAGGGTGCGTTCGCCCCTGTTTGGGGAGGGTTCTCTCTGGGCATCTTGGGCCGGGCTGGCAGGGTCCAAAGTGCTGGGGAAGCTCTGAGCAGAGCTGGGGCAGAAGAGGAGGTGAGCAGGGGATGGAAGCAGCCCCAGGAGTGCCAGGAAGGGGAGCTCAAGCAATGCGGCCCTCAGACCCCATGCTCGGCCCCTCAGAGCAGTGTGGTTCACACGCACCCCAAGACACAGGCCTGCAGCTCCTTGGCCAGGCAGACCCCTCACATAGGACCAGCGCGGCCGATGTCTCAGAGGAAGGGAGGGGTGGTGAGCGAGGCCCCCAGGCCCGTCACAGCTCCTCCTTAAGGCTTGGGAGCCTCAGAACCCCTGTCCTAGGGGCTCTGTGCCTGCTCCTCACGCAGCCCCCTCCCCTCCTCCGGCCACCTCCCAGTGAGGCCCAGCAGTGCCCTCCTCTCCTGGCATAGATGATCGGGGTGCAGGGTGAGTCGGGGTGGGGGGCGGGTGTGAAATATGCTGCTGGGTAGTGATCGCTGCCGCTCGCCTCCCTAAAAACCCACATATATTATTCTTTAATGGAAAGTTAATTGTCTTATTATTCCCTCCATATGGTCCTCTTGCTC